AAGAAACCCCACATGTGTGCACTAACAATTATTCCTAAGAATAGAATTTTAGTGCATACATCATGAAATTCATAACAGCCTTTACATAAGCATGGTTGATTTTAAGCATTATTTTACCTACCTGCATAAATAATAGATGTTAGAAGTCCTTTTTGAGATGATGACATGTGTAAGTCACATTGAGCAAATGGAATTACATAGGAGGTACTCAAACTTTCCATGACAAAAGTTATTAGACAAAGTCCACAACATACTAATATACGATAATGAAATTTTCCAAAACCTAAAACCATTAAAGGGAATTGATATAAAATAATGACATTATATGAATTTGTCATATGATAGTTTTTATACAAAACAAAAACATCAGCATTCTTTAACTATTGATGTATTATAGTAAGAAAATACAGTAGTTATAGATATCAGTGTTTTCTGAAAATACATTCCTGCCCTTAAGCAAGTCATTTTTAACAAAAAACACTGATTCACATATCAAGAGACAGGGTAATGGTAAGATACCTAGACAATGAGAGGCTTACAAGAATCACATGGGTGGAATTTGCTTATTATTCGTACAATTCATTTTTGTAATCTAAAAGTCTGAGAGCTATAGGATGTATTTCCTCAGAATATTATGCCATATCTCAGGCAGCAATGAACATTTGCAAAATATACACAATGAGCAGTATGGAGGTTGACTGAATTTGAAAGAATTCTGAAAGTGTAACATAATGAACTTAATTTAGTGCTCAATTCATTTAAATAGACAATTCATGTAAGGTTTGACTGAATTGAAAAACCTAAAAATTTTGTTACCTTAATATTAGTCAGTTGAATGTTCATTTTCAATGGAGTACAGAGCTATGTATTTGAAATGGAAATTTGAAATGTTATTATGGTAACAATTTGAAATATTTGATATTATTCTATTTACAGTTTCTTTATTGCAAAGAATATTCGTATCATCTGCAAAGAGAACTATTCTTCCATTTCTAATCCTCATGGACGTATTGTTTACATATAGTAGGAAGAGAATAGGGCCTAAAATTGATCTCTGCAGGACTCCACACGCAATTGGCAAAGAATCGGGAAGGTGTATACATAATTGTGTACACAATTAGTTTAAATAAAACAAGAATAGTTGGCAACATTTGAAAACATACATCAGCAAACAAACCACAGACTTCATTCTACAGTACTGCCAAATAAAAACCTCCTTTCCCTGCCCTACTGCCCTTGAAACTAACAAAAGAAGAGCTCTGTGAAAGGCTGTGCTGCTGAGCTACATTTACAATCCAGAAGCAAAACAAAGACCCATCTCAGCAATTTCTCAATTCATCAAAAGAAACTGGATGAAAAACCTTATCAAAATGGGGGTAATTGACATCTAATGATTCGAAACTGAAATACCATTGAGAATTCTTGTTTCAGTCTCAAAATGACAATGACAACTTGTGCTATTAAATACAAACAGAAGAGATCATTATGTTACGATAACCAAATACACATTTTGACTAAAGTACAGAAAATCATAATAATTTATTATGTTCAAATTCATAAATCTCAAAATGATGATGGCTTATAATAGTTATTTCGGAGAGAAACATTTTCTTCAAATAAAATTTGTTTTTATATTACTAACTTAGTCATCAAAATAATTTAATTTACATTATTAGACAAGAAAGGAAAATTCAAGATTTAAGAACTGTTATTACTCCCTTGATACAATTTGTCACTTGGACCCAGGGTTAAAAAATACAATTTGCCTCAAGTTGTATTTTAGAGAATTTCATTATAAAATGGACATATTTTTGTGTGAAATGTTTTTCAAATGACATAGGATTTGCTTGTTTTCATGGCACTAATTTCCAAATGCTGTAAGTTAGAAAAGAGAAGAGATAATTGAACAAAAGGCAAAATGTTGTTAATTAATATCAAGGCATCAATACTGGACAAAATGCAGAAAACCTAGAAATTAAAATCAAGAAGTATAATGATCTAGTGTGACAATAAAAAAGCATTTTGGGAAAAAGATAACCAGGAAACAAAATTGCCAATACAGAACATAATATCCAAACCTATTCTGCTTTTCGAATCAGAAACTGGGGTTCTAAAAGAAGAAATTAACAAAGTATGGAAACAGCACAAATAAGATTCCTCTGAAATATCTCTGGACTAAAATGATTGGTTCAACAAAGAAACATAGAGATGAGAAAAAGATTTAAAACAAAAAAAATGTTGTAGAAGAAATAAAAGACTATCGGAATAAATGGTAAGAATACATTAAGGGAATGAATAATGAGAGTCTTCCTCAAATACCTTTAAATAAAAAGCCATTAGGTCAAAGCAACTTTGGAACACCAAAGAAAAAATGAAGAGAATAGGAGCATCCGCAAGTATAAACTAACAGGGCTACTGTTCAATCGGAAATTGACTTAACATACAGTTCATGTTGAAAGATAAGAGTTAAAAAAAAATTAAAATGGTATAACAAAATTTTACCTGTGAGAGATATAGCTTCTTCATAGGTTTTAGATTTTCCATCATCATCTGAAAAATAAAAAACATTTTAAAATAGTTCTTGTAAAAGTAGTATGTATATGCAGGTTTACTAATTGAATAGCAGTAATATAATGGTATTTTTTTCAATGAAATATATCAATCTCTTCCTTACCTAATGATGTCATTATATTCTAGCTTCACTACAGTATATAGGTAACTACTTGTAAAAATTATAAGACTCAATTGTAACAGAACTGTTCTAATGTAATTTCCTTTGCTGAGAGTTTTAAAGAATAAGAACATACATCTTACTTTAACACTGAAACACTGTCACCTTACCTTACTATCACCCCACTTATTCTGTTACAAGGAAGAAGTAATCCTGTTCAAACAAGATAACATGTAATGTGCAGATCTTAAGGAAGCAATGAGGCCTGCAATTTGGGCTCTATTGAGTAATGTGTCAAACATCACAAGTACAAGAAATTCATGAGCAGACTTGGGTACTTTCAATTTACAGTCTTATGTGTGAAAGACATTTATGAAGTGTGAAGTATTAGGTATTTAACATTCTTTTCAAGTTTAAACTTAGAATAAAACAATTCTACTTTCACTTAATCAACCATTCAACACATTTTCCACTATGAGGGTTTTGGAAAAGGAACAGAAAAGTACATTATAAGCAATATTATAATATTTTTTTCCATGTATATGTGACTAATAAACGACAGCAAGAGATTGCAAGGTAAAGATGTCTATGACTCTTGAATGTAAAGGAAAAGGGTATGTTAAGTTTCATTTTTTTTGCATCTCCTTCATTTTTATCCCAGATTCAAACTTTTTATAGTTGTTTTATAAATAGAAGCACAATAATATAGTTTTTCATTAATTAAAAAAAAAAATTGCACTATCTAAAATTTAATTTTAAAATATATATTTGTTAATTTGGAAAATCATATTTTTTCCTTTTCAAAGTACTTCTCAAAAAAAGAATTTATAAGCTTTAGACACATTAAGTTTGAAAAAAATCTTAAACTGAAAGAGGCATTAATTTTGTGTGTAACCCTTATGATTTGGCATGGAATGACTTTTATGATTAATTCTAAAAATTAATATGTTTACATTTTTCAATAAACAATTTTTTTGTTGAAAATTGAAATCCCTATCTTAAGAAAAAACCTAACAACATGCTCATAAAGGTTTTTCCAAGAGTGGGGACCCATGCAAACACTTGTTTTGCTTCTTGAAATAAATAGTCTAAATCCTTCGTAAATTGTAAATGTGTGTCATCACTTGATTGAACTTCATTTTGAATGATTCAAGTTTTTCACAAAGTTGTGTGCACTATTTATTTTGTACAAGGAAATAAGAAGGATGAAAATTATAGAAAAATATTAGAATTGTGATCTGTTCTTTAAATAACAATATTGTTTTTTAGTTGAGCACTGTGAATCACTGTCATGTATCAATTATTTTAAAAAGAAATTGGTTTAATGTTTGAGCATCTCATAATGTATTGAAGCAGCCTAGCAATTTTCAAGTAATATAAACATTAACAAGGATACCGAGAAGAAGTAGAAGAAGACAGAGACTTAAAAGAACAAGGAGAAAAAGAAGCAGAAATGAAAGAAGAGAATAAGAAAGAAAATGGAAGTCAAGAAAAGGAAGAACAAAGAGGAGAAACAGAAGCAGAATGAGAAGTATGAGGGAGAAGAGGAGGAGGAGAAAGAGAAGAAACAAGGAAGAGGGGAGGGAAAGGAGGAGTTAGGTTGTGGGTGAGAATGGGGAGGAAAAGGAGAAGAAGAGGAAGAAAGAGGAGTCCTAAGGTTTCCAGAATCTCCCCACTACTATCCTTGGGTATGTGATAGCCATGCTGCTGATCTCAACACCTCCCAAGCTGATGAGACGAATTGAAGATGAAACAGTATAGCAAAAGATGACGTAGGCGTAAGCCAAAGGATATGTTTGCTAGTGTTTGCCAAAGGGTATCTTATTCAAAACACCTTGACCAATGGGTCCCATATACCACTTAGAAATTTTGAATTTTGGTAGGGTTGCCAAGGTCTTGGGATGAATTTTCAACCCAAATCAGCGGTCACAGCAAAATGGGATAAATGAAAAATCCTTCTTATTTCTTGCTTATGATTTATCATTATGCTATTTTATGCTAAATTAAAACCCCTTTCTTATTTCTTGCTTATGAAGCCCTAGACAGGGGGTAGCCACTTAATAGTAACGGGAAAATTCCTTATTTTACCGTAGTTGTGGGGGTGGCAGAGGGAATTATGGGTAAGTAGGGCCATTACTGTCCATCATGGTGTAGCGCTGTGTAGCAACTTTTGCAAACTAATAAAAAAATAGAAAGTCAGCCTTCCAAATGTGCTGTCATCTGACGATAGTTCTGAGAGAATGCTTGAAACTGACCCCAAACCACTCTCTGGCCCTAGTACAACAGAGCCATGAGAGCTAATTGATATATAGAAATAAAACAACAAAGCGAGATTTTTCTGTTTTTTAATGTTTCTGTTGAATAAATTAATTTTACAAAGTAAAAAATGCAATTACAAGGACCTTTTAATATTCTTGCTATTATTTAAGATGATAATTATTTTCAGAAAGTCTTTTACTAATATTATATATTGAATTAAAGACCATTGAGAGCAATTATGACACTTGGAATTTAAGTTTTATATTTTATTATGTTTCATGGGTGTTTAACACCCCACATATTCTCACCTTTGGAACAGGGGGGGGGGGATAAATCAGTCGTGAAATGTTGAAATACAATTTACAACTTAACATCATTGTATTATTGACTTGTCCTGTATAATCCTTAATTCAATGTATATTATTATTATTATGATTATAAAAGGAAGAAGATTTCAGATGGACCAGGTCTTGTCTACCTGTTGTTTTTTGTTTCTTCTTTCTTCCTTTTCCTTCTCCTGTCTATCATTTCTGCTACACATTCTTGAAAACACTTTCTCTTCATTAAGTTTATCTTAATATCTCTAGATGGTCTTAAGAGTGCTGCTTCAACTCTGAACACTGAGATCTCTCAAAATTAACTTGGATCTATTTCCCGAGTTGTTGGGTTTATCTACTCATCTCATACAGAAAGATTATCTTTTATGAAGATTACCACAGAAATATGTCAATTTGATTATCAATAAATTAAATGTAGATGTGAAAATTGACTGTATCAACTACTTTTCTTTGGAGATGGAAGAAAAACTGAAATAATTCCACAACCTAGAATGAAAAAGAAAGAATTATGCTAAATTAATAAAATGCACTAATTTAAACAATGGACAATAGTTAAAAGTTAATAATGAAGAGTGAAGTAATCCATACATGCACAAAGTCCTCCAAGCACAAAAGTCATTATTAAGCAATTTGTTTCCAGAAGTACTCCCATCAACATATGTGCTGTGAAAGAACCTAACCTTCCACACATTAGTGAAAGACATACTGCCATAGCCCTGAAAATGTTAAAACAGTTTTATAGAATTGCTTTCAATCTTTGTCAGCAATAGAGAAAACTGAATTTCTTACCGTAGATTAGTTGGAAATATTTCCACCACAACTGAAACTGTGACAGCTATGCACATACCGGATAATGTTACAAAAGCTAGTGCCATCAAAAAAAATTCCCAGTCAGCATTTACATAATCAAGCAATAATCCAGCAAGTCCTCCAAAAAACAAGCTGGCCACTATGACAAATAATAGTCATTATAAAATTTAATGGAATATAATATTTAAATTCCACTTTTATTCATTTAAATTAATTAATAAGTCATTCACAAATTAAAAAAAAAATTACTCATAGACCAATACAAAAATTAATAATATTCTATCATTAAAACACAATTATGATAATTACTTACTGATTATTGGTTTCTTTCCAAGAGGCCCTATTAAGAAACCTACGATGACAAAGGATATTGCACCTGCTGCACCTATTATTAGTGTATTTTGAAATGCTGATATATCAATATGATTATTGCATTCAGATGAATTTGAGACCTCTGACACTGAAGGATTTTTTTCAATTTTAGTTTCTATGAGATTTCTGAAATGTGGTGTATTTAAGGCTGTTAGGATAATTTCATTTCCCTGAACTTCAATCTGGAGAATGTTATCACTAAAGTTGTGAAGAAAAGTGTTGTTAAAGCAATTTAAAAAAATGGGGGAAGCTTCTACAGGAATTTGTGTGACATTATTAACATTTAAAATAAGTATGCTATTTTCACAGGCAAATGAAAGTGTGTCATTGGTGTGCAAATCCACAGTTGTAGGTTTCATGAATTTCAGTGATATATCAATGGGTTGTGACACATTAGGTGATTCAATAGGTCTTCCAATTGTATTGTAAATTTGACATGTACTGACTCGTGCATCAGGGTGAATAGAAAAATATGCTGCTTGATGATTAAATATGTCAGGAAGCCACAATGAAAGCCCATTTGAACTGTAGAAAAAGAAATTATATTACAGCCCCAAATAATATGATATAAAAAATGTCACATGCATATATTCATGATTTTACCTGGCATATAATCCATACTGTACAAAACAGACAAGCAATGTCTTCCATAAAAATGGTGTTTTGAAAAGAGGAACAGTTTGATTCCACATGTGAACAATTAAATCAATTACTGATGACCCACTGTCAGATGGAGAAACTTGCGTAGCATCATCTTCTGTTAAAATTATTGAATTTACCTGCATGAAAATAGCATGAAGATTGAACCAATTGAATATTTTTCTGGTAACATTTTGAAATGAAGAGTTACTTACTGGATACTTTACGACACTGTTTCCAGAATTCTTCACATACATATTTCTCAATATGTTAAGAGCCTCATCTTTTTTCCCCACTGCCATAAGGAATTTTGGGGTTTCTGGGAGGCAGAAAGCTGTTACAATAGCAGCCAGAAGCGTGGGTAAGGCACAGATAACAATGAAAACCCTCCAAGATTTGTACAAACACCATGGAAGGTGCCAAACCCAAGTTTGTGGAATTATTAACCAAGCAATACCTGCAATTTCAAATTTTACTTACAATTTTGTTGGAGTGACTCGTTAATATTTGCTCATCTTACTGAATATATAAAATAAAGGAAGTGTGGAGCAAACTTTCCTAAGAAGCTACTATACATTGATAAAACAGACAGTTTAGATAAGTGACAAGTAGTGTCAATGCTAGACAATGGACCCTGGGCAATGCTGAAACATAGTACATTCCAGAAAATAATTAAAATTGTGAAAGGTGTATCAAGAAATCATACCAGTTATTTTATTTATTTCAACATCAAAAATATTACATTTTCGGTAGAAAAAGTTTTTGGAAATATATTTTAAATAATAGTTTAAAGTATAAGTATTTAGTCATCAAATAATACAATTCCCATTGTGAGCTTAAAACACTAAACAATTTTGTTGGGTTTATTTAGAGTTTAATAAAAATCACTTGCTGGATACATGAAATAATAAATATGAATTTCAGTAGAATGTATTTTCATTTTTGCATCATTTGATTCATTTCAGAGCCCTACCTTACAAGTAATGACTAATTAACTATTAAAGGTAAAAATTTAGTTGTAAATTTTATGAAATATCAGACTATTGCCCATGCCTAGTGCTGGCACTGGTGACAAGTTAAATAATAATAGATGTGAGTGAGAAGAGTGAAAAACATCTGTAGTGTACATTTATGTACTTAAAAGGTAAAACAAATATGCATAGTGGCACAGGTGTAAGAGTCTAAATGAAGTGGAATGTAAGGATATGCCAACCAACGAATTGCTAAATCGATGAACTACTGATCATAATCTATCTCTGTACCCTGCTTGCACAGGACCTTTCCCCTTCACATTTTTTTTTCTTTTTCTTTCTTTTTTTGGTTTTTGTAAGATATAATTATGGGATAAAATTAAGAGAAAATCATGACACTTATAAAGAAAAAGCTTCAGTTCAGTGTGTTATATATCAAATTGATATAGGTGGCGTTTATCTTTCATGGGAAATAATTAATTAATGATGTGCAAAAGACTCCCAAAATACTTTGAGTCTGCAGATGTTTTACCAAAACCCAAATTGGGGTGTAACGCTAGTGAAAAGAAAGAAAATATTTCTTTATTATATTTCCTATTATTTTTAATGTATCACTTAATACATAAGCTCCTTTCGCTATTAACAGACACTAATTTTATGTGAATGATCATTTTCTTTGTCCTTAAGTAGATCCTTAAGTAGCTTCAGGTAAATGTTAAGAGAAGTGTAACATCAGTACTCAATAATTGATGAATAAAACTTCTTAATTTAAATAATCTGTTCATATGATCCAGAGTTTTATATTTTTAACAAAAGGTGCTGATAGTTTCTTTACTAGTACTTTATGTCATTCAATAATTGTTTATTTGCGTGATGGAAAAATCAATGAAAGAATATGTATTTTAAAAATTACAGAGTTGAAAAACATTTCAGGGAAAGAATAATAGAGCTCAAGATTTGTTTTACTTTTTGTGCAAGTAATATTAATATAAATGGAAAAGAAAACATGATATTTCATTTGAAGTTTCTGTTTTGGAAGTATATCTGTAATCATTTATCAAATTTTTGGAATATTTCATAATTAACCATTTTACGTACCTGGTTGAGCACAAATTGCAATGCCTATAAATACAGATAACCACATCAATCCTTTGTTTCTGTTTTCTGTAGCATGGAATTCTCCAAAATAAGCATATATTACTGAAGATGCTCCTGATATCCTTTAAAACAAATATGAAAGTAGTATAGATTTTTTTCGCATGTTACTATCAGTTAATACTTTCAGGTCTGGTACAATCAATTTCATAATTGCAAGTTACTCTAGTAAGAAAAATTTCAACTTACAAGAAGCCACATATAAAACGAAAGGTGAGAAAAATCCAGAAAATTGGTATGAAACTACTTATTATGGCACATAAACCATCTAGAAGATATGAAGCTACAAGAGCTTTTTTGCGACCTCTTGTGTCTGCAAGATAACCCCACATGTGCGACCCACAAATCATCCCTAAAAAAGAGAAGTAATTTGAGAGTAAACAAGTGTTTAAAAAAATTATGAGAAAATTTTGTTAGTCAGAAATTCTTGTAAGTATAAACAAATAAAAAATATAATATAAATGTGGTCAATAAAACACAGAAAGCATTGCACATGTATTATAGGATTTATTCACAAATTGATATTATAAACTATGACTGTGACATTGGTGATGTATAATTTTAATTAGTTCATTAAATTACCTTATAACAAAAAATGTCTGATTAATTAGTTTCAAAAATTTTGTTTTGGTCTATGAAAACCTTTTAAACTTGTGTGATTTGAATATTTATATCCATAATAAAAAATATATTTGTGGCAACTTTGTAGACCATCATATTTTTCTTCAGGTTTAGGTATCTTTTCTGTTCTAGGGTTCATTTCTCTTTAAATAATTTTGGTACATTTTTTTATGTTTGTAGTCAAAAGTAATAATTATTTCTTAATGTTTCTTGCTTTAACCTGAGGAAAATTTTTTCCATCAATTAAAAATAAATTTATGTTCTGCTGTTTGTGATTACAACCATTAATGCATATTCTGTATTTTTGATTTGATTTATTTAGTCAAAAACCAGTAGAAACAATAAGTGATGTTTGAGGGAGAAGTATCATCTGCACACGTTTTTTGAGCTCCAGAATCCCTTCCCCACATATAAATAGATGTAAATTATAAATAGATTATAAAAAGATGAAAAAAGTTTAAAAAATAAAATAAAATGAATAAAAATAAAATAATAATCATAAAAAATAAAATTGAACAAGTGCAAAATTTGCAACATTTGAAATAAAAAAAAATGTATGCTACTAAGATACTGAGAACTTACTTGCATTGGTAAACGAAATACAGATTTGATTTTTTTGCATTGCTAACAAGCAGCTCTACTCCTGCCACTACGTGCACAAGGAGAATTCATCAAAACGTGCATATAGTGAAGGAACATTTATTTATTATTTTGAATTGTAATACTTTTATCTCAAATACTTTAATTACTTATTTTGTTGGATCACTACAATTTTACTTTACTGAATATAATTCAGTTTTATTGGTTTGAATAACTGTTTTAAATGAGTATAGCAATGTTTAAAGCAATGAGTGTAGGGAATGTACTAAATTAAGATATCATTTTTTCTGAATACTTTTGATTAGGTTTAATGAAAATTATGTTTTCTTAATGAAAATTTCTTGGTGAAGTGAAATATAAACATCTAAAAGAATAAATTATTTAGTATTTCAAATTGTGAGAAACTTACCCACTGGATACACTGCATTAAGTAAGCCTTTGTCTGCTGTTGAAAGATTGAAGTCACATTGTGCTGAAGGTATCAGAAATGAAACTCCAAAAGTTTCCATCATCACACCTATTAAACCAATTCCACATGAGAAGAGAAGAAGATTGTGGAATTTTCCAGTTCCTTTAAAAATGCATTTTATGAATCATAAAATTGTTATTGAATAATACCATACATAAAATATGTTTTGATTATTTTTGTTTTGTTTTCTTACCTGTGATGTACAGTGCATCTTCCAATTCTGTGGGATATTCTTGTCCTTTTCCATTTTCTTGAAAATAGAATTGAAGATAATTCCAGTGGATTTGACATGACAAAGAGAAACTCATAAATATAATTTCTTATGAAAAGAAAAGCTTGTTGAACTTACCTATTGGTTTTATTCCTTGAGCCATTCCCCCCTAACAAAGGAAAGAGCAATACAAAATAAATAATAAGGCTTTTATTGTGATACAGGAACCTGTTTATTTTTCTAAAATAGCAGTACCTTAGCCTGTAATAAAGTGATTGATTTGATTAAGTGCATATTTTCTGGTTTTGACATAATTAGACACCTGCAATGTTACTTAGACAATTTCATTATTTTTCAATTCGTAAGTGGTCTTCTGAAGTGACATGCAATAATAAAATGGTAGTGAATATAATTATAACAGGGAATTTCAAGAAAAAATAAAATTAATGTAATATAATAAAATTGTTAAAATAAATATTGTGAATATAAAACAAGCTAACTTTAAGCTCTCCAATATATATATTTCATGGAAGAAAGGAACATTATTGTTGTCTTTGTGATTCATAGTGATTAGTATTTTAATCTGGGGCAGATACAGGAGAGGGAGTTTTACAGTTCAGCCTAAATATTTCTGAAATAATAATAAAAAGCTCAATATTTGTTTACTTGAAATAAAAAAAATGTGTAGCATTCTCTTAATGGGAATATACTTGGGAATGGGAATAAAAGCTTGATTTGGAGTACCTACTCTCTGGTTTCGCCACTGACATTAATGTTTAAAATTTTACTTATGACTTATTATGAAATAAAGAAATGCCGCTTTCAAATATCATGCAGGTAGATCGAATCTGACAAGATTGTAACATATCTCAACAAATTATTATGATGGACAGATACTTTACAAAAACTTGTCTGAATACTTCAGCCGGCGAGTTACATTAGCCACTGTCTGCAAACATACCTGCACGACTTTTGATGTAGTGTCAACCAAGCAGCACCAAAAAGTAACCAGAAATTGCAGCAAGAGTGGAATATAAGGCATGACTCGTTCAAGATCATGAGCTTTGTGTTATCACTTCGTTTCTCGCACCATCACTGCCTTTGCATTCACGCAAGAAACACGCGTTTGAATTATTGTGGTAACGGAAAACATTATTAGCCCTCGGGTTGCAAATAACGCTCTTGTTTTGAGTGTAATAGTTATGGATTCTTTAATAGTAACTACTATTTTAATTTCGTAACTCTATAAAACAGTAATTCTTGAAGGAATAAGAACAATAATAGTTTCATATATTTCATATCTTCTATTATAAAATCAATAGATAAGTGTGTATTGCTTTGATATTATATTACAGAAGTTTACTGTACAATTGTTAAATGACTACATGACCTATATTATGATTCACATTATTATCTAGACAGCATGGTAATAAAAACTCTTATAAGACTAGCAAAATTTATAGAATAAGTTTTGGATTTTTTCTCGCAGTTTCGGGTCAGAATGCCATTTTGTAATGTTCGGTCTCTTAGAATAATAATTTTCAAATCGGGCACGTTTACTTTTCTTGATCTGGCACTTTGTAATTAAACACGTGTCATACCGGGAGCTTGGTAATGACGCGGAAGATGCGCATGATAAAGCAAAATCGTTTAATTATGCATTTTTATTGCCATTTCCTGACAATTGGGAAATGTAGAGTAGGATAGCAAATACAGATCACTGCAATGCTCAGCCGCAACTTTCATCCCATTAGGCTAATACAATATTATATTATGAATTGCTTTACACCAGTTAAGTCAGCCTAATGTTCTGTCTGCACCAGAAGTTCGCTATCATTTTCACTTTCTTCAGCATTTATCAAAAATGGAGCTACCGCTTAAGGTCAAGATCCAGGAACATAACTTGCAACAGTGTTCCCTTGCAACAGCTGGATAAAATCTTCGATTGCCTGGAGTCAGGGCCGGATTAACCTAGACGTAGGCCTCAGAAAAAATATAGGGCCGTATTAAACAGTAATTTTTTGACTTTTTGGAATAAAAAAACGGCAATTTAGAGGAATACGGATAATACAATTGATTCGAAATTTACGTTGTCGTATGTGACTGAAATATTTCTCATTTTTAATTTCCCGCGTACGTACGTAAATACGGAGTAATATGCTGCTGGAACTCGATTTCGAGATTTCAACGGAAAAGGACGTTTTGGAGTCCCCTGGTAACGAAAAAGGGTTCTTTTTTTTCAAAACGTCCGTACGTCTGTAAACACCACTACCGCCTAACCCATGCGTAGGATTCCCTGTCCATCTGGCTTGAGTCGAATCTTTGCGAATTTGAAAAAAATCATTAAAATTTAGGGCTATCCCCCCGGAAATTTTCAAAATTTTCTCAAAAACCGCTCCAAATGTTTTCTTTACATTTCTTGAAAGTATAGAATAAAATACACTTGTAAAGGTGGCATAGGTCCGAGCTCGGGTTTATCTCTGAATTTTTGAAAATTTCACAAATTTTCGGGCATTTTCCTACAACTACAAAATTGAAGATAGAGATTTTTCCTTGAAATTAAATTTTTATCCATAGTGAGTTCTTTCATTAATATCATGTACTTTTTTTAAAAAAAATTTAGTAGTTTTTAGCAATATTGCAAGAAATATGTGCAATTTAAAAAACAATTTTAAAAAATTTCTCAAAACCGGATGCAATTTTCTCATTTAAACTTTTAGAAACGATAGTGCTAAATACACTCTATAAGATAACATAAATGCTATATTGCTCTATTCTTTTATTTTTTCAAGAACTACAAAAATGTATTTTTTTTACTTGTTTCTCATGTCGTTAATATTTACATTAGAGTTAATTGGTTCACATTACTGTATTTATGACTATATGTGCTTTAAATAATGTCAAATTTAGTTACTCGAAAACTCAACAGTTTTATGTAAAAACTATCTCAAAATTCCATATTTTGAAGAACGCTATAACGCCATTTTCTCATAAACGGCTCCTAATTTTTCTTCAAACTTTCCAACAGATAGTGCTAATTGTGCTGTTTAATATGAAAAAAAGTTAATTTGATGTATTGTTTTGTTTTTCAAAAATTACACAAATGTAACTTTTTTTGACAGATCTCTCACGCCGTTAAACCGCACTTTTCTAGCAATTTGTAAACACTATTGTATTTGTGAGTTAAAGTACTTCAAATGACTTCAATGAAATGAAATTATCTGTGAAACAGAGCTTCTACATTCGAATTTTCAGTAGCGCGTAAGCGACGTTTTCTGAAAAAGGTTCAACATTTTTCAATGAAAATTGCAATTTTAGATGAGCTTTTACTGTTTTAATATTTATAAAATAAAATTTTTGTTCTACTAATTGAAACCGAAAAATTAAAAATTATTTTAAAAAAGTGTACTTTGGGCGGCGATAGATGGATAAAAATAGCAGCTGGCAAGAGTATGTGGCAAGTTCAATTGCTAGCCGAGATCAAAGGAAAACTAATTCGGGAAAGTCTGCGGTATTCTGTAGCACTATTAGTTTGATTCTTTTTCGCGTTTTTTTTACAAAACTTACGTTCGTAATGTTGTGTATATTGTAAAGTGTAAATTATTGAATTTATTTTTCAAGACAAAAAAAATAGATAATTTCGTATGTATGTCGTTTATTTTTAGTATCTAACTAATAAACGCCTAACGAATAAATTTAAAGATAATAGCGCAGGTCTCCTCTTCGTTGAAAACTCTAATTTTTCAAAAATTGAAAGAACTCAATTTTTTTGGCGTCTTCTTACAACTAAAAATTAAAGATAGATATTTTTCCATAATAAAATCTCTTCCTTAAAGATAGATTTTGAGATAAGGTCATGTACAAATTTTCGAAAATTTAAGAATTTTTCGCGCACTTTTGCAGGAAATATAGACAATTTTTAATTTTTGTTTAAACAATATTTTTCTCAAAAATCGCTTCGTTGTTTTTGATGAAATTTTTGGGTGAATAGCTGAAGGACGTTTAAGAGAATGGTGTAGGTTTCATGTTGTAGAAAACCCTGATTTTTCGGCAATTGCAAAAATTCAAATTTTTTTCGACGTTTTTCTACAACTACAATTATGAAGATTTGTTTTAGTGAAATATGTTCATCAACAACAGATCTTTAAATAAGATAATTTTTCAAAGCCATGAGTATTATTTGCGAAATTTTGTGTCATAGGCAATGGAAATTGGGAACTTAGCATAAAGGGCGCTTAAGAGAATGATGCAGGTCTCATGTTCATTGAAATGTGTGATTTTGCGAAAATAATTAAAAAAATATTTTTGCGTCTTTCTACTACTACCATTGTTAAGATACAATTTTATCTTAATTAAATGTGTTCATAAAATCTTTAAATAAGGCCATCATTTTAATAAGGTTGAATTTTTTGAAAATATGAGTATTTTTTTGTAAATTGGCGACAAAATTAAATGCCAGTTGCGATATTACTGCTCTTCGTGAACGATTCCACACATTTGGATGCTTCGTAAGTCAGAATTGATATATTATTCAATGCGTTGTTCGTTTCTTACATTCGACCTTTTGTTATACACATACACATTAATATTTCAGAAATTATTTCAAATCTTTTTATATACTGTTTTATATACTGCTTTCTGGGAATATCAGATTGGAATGCTACAATGACTCGGGAGCTCATTTTTGTGTATTATGTCAAATTGTTGGGATATGATTTACCTGTATGCATTAGTGATATGGCATCGATGTTAGCCAACATCGATGTTAAAAATATATCGACTAAAAACCATCGATATTTTTTCAACATCAATGTTTTTTAGGTTTATGGATTAGTAACATCTAATATTAAGTTCGTGTGCAATAACATTTTATTTGACAGAGACCGTGTTTATCAATAAGGCTATGATAAGAAGGTAGCAACCTTACGCCCAGTGTGTATTTGTTGGCCGTGTCTCAATGTGATAAATGAATATGAAGAGGAAATAATGGCATAGAGGTCATCGCGAGCTAGAGAGTTTGGCCGTTGTAGGTAGTGAAACCAGCATTCATGGTTGGCTCTATCACATGAGTAGCAGTGTTACTATCAGCTGTTATTTAAAAATTTAACTTTAAATGTATTGTGATCATGGGAGTTTTTTCATTCAGAAACAAAACATCGGAAAAGAAAAAAAATCGATGTTAATACATCGATGTTGAAAACATGGATGTTTCGAAAAACATTTAGACATCCGAATGTCCCGCATCGCTGAATGAATAACATTTAATCATTGTCAATTCGGTTGTTGATTAGTTTGCATTGAAAATTTAGTTTGTTTAACCTAAGGTTGTACGTTATTACCAAGTAAGGGCCAAGTTTTCAAAATTTGCAACCTCAAAAATCGAGTGTTTTCGACTTAAAAGAGACCTGCATTATTCGGCATGAAATGTCCTTCATACAACAACATATTAATACAAATGCTGGAGCTTATTTTTTTTAAAGTTCCTCAAGGCTTAGTTAAAAGAAACGAATAGCTTTCAAAGGATAAACATTCATTCATTTTTGTAATTTAGTTAAAAAATGTCTTGACATACTCGTTTAAAAAAGTAATACATAACTATACTAAAGGGGAGAAAAAGTGCCGTGTCTGTTTCACCACCAGTTTAAAAATGTTAAGCAAATGTAATGGTGAGATTCCCAGCCAATGGATCCAAAATACCAATTTAACTATGTGGGCTACAGAATGCCATAGACTTTCCTGTATTAGTTTTCTATTTCCTTTATTCTCGGCTAGCTAGTTCGGACTAGTCACATATTCTTGCCAGCTGCCAATCTATCACACGCTACAAAATATTATTTTCAAATTTTCTTTAACTTTTTCATTTTTCTTAATAGTAGAACTGATATATTATTTAAGATTTACCTATCACTAACCATCTTTAGCTTTTCAACCTTTGTAGTTGTAGAAATACGCCATAAAAATTAAACTTTTGCAACTTTCGAAAATTCAGAGTTAACCCTGGAAATCGGACGTACGCCACTTTTATACGTGTATTTTACTCTATTCTTACAAGAAATGTGCAGAAAAACTTTGGGGACGCTATTGAGAAAATTTTAAAAATGTCCGTGGGCTT